ACGTTTCGGGTCTAGACCCGAAACGTCAGCTTTCCTGCTCCTCTGATGCTGCTTGGCCTGCTGTGTTCATCCAGCTCTACACCTTGTTGTCTCTGATTCTCCAGCATTGGCAGTTCCTACTATCTCTATTAATGGTATTGATCTCATATTTGCTACTAACTACTAATAAGTATAGCTAAGCAAGCAAGTATAACTAATATCAGTATTGCTAAGTGAATGAAGCCAGAAAATTGTATTTAGTGCTATTTCTTTACTGACCTGTAACAACATGAGCTGAAATAACAACCTGGCTCAAAGTAAGAGCCCAGAGATGAAGGCTGTGCACTGTTTTCACTCCATTAACTGCAAGAATCTTTTCCCTCACTGCAATATACTTCAGTCCAGCAGGTGCACCTTGATGATAAAATAAATAACATTAAATAAAATACTAGTAATGTTCTACATATTTTAAACATTGCTAAAATGAGACTAGAAATTGAAGCTTTTTTTGTCTTGCACTAATCAGAACAAGAAAAAGTGCAAAAAAACCTGCATTTGTGGGAGCTGAAGTTCATATATAAATACTCAGGACCCTGTTTTATGTAGGCAAAATGAATTTGTATATCCATTGTTACTTTTTTTTCAAAAAAAAAGGGGTCAGAGAGACAGGTCAACTCTGCTGCACCCATACGACAGCACACTGATCAGAACCTACTTGTCTGGTCTGAGAATTAAGATTGACAGTTAACTGTTGTGCCATGGCAATTAGGCCCAATTGACCAGCACCTCTTCTCATTCTGTATAAAATGGTGTCTTTTTTTCAAGTCTGTTTCTTATGTCCTAGTTCTGATAAGTGCAAGATGAAAAGATTCTCGTCTCTCTTTAGCAATGTTTAAGTCTGCATTGCCAAGAAATTTCCCATATATTTCACATTATATCCATATTTACACATACAAACCCATATTGGTATCTATTCTAGGTGCTTTCATGATGACTGTAATAGGTGAAAACATCCACCTGCCCAAGACTAAAATGCCCGACATTGTGCACTTTATCATACCCATTTGTTTATTACTATGTTCCATCCACAAAACAGAATTCTTGACCCAAGCACAGAACTTCAGATTGTTTGTATGGTTTGACAGTGAAAAAATGCACTGACATTTACCAAGCAATGGTATGCTCTTTGCCATCCCATTTGACTTTCTCTCAAATTCAGTGAGTCTGTCATTGTCAAATCTGTACTTTCCATGCTATCACAGATCCTCTTTTGTTTTTATTTTAATCATACCCTTTCCTGAAATTTGTACTTCCTTAAAACCTATTATAGCTCTAACTACTTACAGTTTTTATGAAAATGGGCTGGGACTCTAACAAAGGTGACAGAGAATCAAGAAACAAACAGGAACAGAAATTGTTGGAGAAACTCAGCAGGTTTGGCAACATCTTTGTTTTCTCTTCAGAGTTAACATTTTGAATCCAGTGACCTATCTTCAGAACTCAGAAGGGTCTGAGGGCTCTGAAGAAAGATCATTGGACTTGAAACATTAACTCTTTTCTCTCTACAGATGCTGCCGGACCTGCTGACTTTTTCTAACAATTTTTGTTTTTGTTTGTTTCAGGTCTCCTGCATCCACGGTTCCTTGTTTATTATAATGAGGAATTAGGTGTCGTCCCTCAATTCGAGGATGACATGTACTTGGTGCGGTGAATTTAGGCTCAAAACGTTAACTCATTTTTTTCTGCCCACAGATGCTGCCAAACTTGCTGTTTTCTCCAGCACTTTCTCTCTGTTGGTGAGTTTCTGTCATAGGTTTTCATGTGACTGAGCAGCTGACTGTCGTTTCACATCTTTGGACACATGGGCAGGACATCCCTTAAAATACCAAGATTGGAGACAAACACCAGCCCTGCCCCACTCCCCACCCCTCACTCCCCACACCCCCGCACCCCATGCTCTGAAACTTGCCTGGTTGGCCATCTTCCCCAGCCGCACACATTGCAATGGAGGCAGAATGAGGTCCTTAAATGGCTAGAATTTATTTACCTAAGGGCCTCAGTAGGATGAAAGGTAAATTAACTGCTTGATGTCTTTCCCAGCCCCTACACAAGGGACAGGATGGGCTGTGAAGGAAGACAGTGAGCTTGCTTGCCCTTTTATTTTACATGCAACTCTCCCATCTTTAAAATTGCTGGGGTAAATTTAACCCTAAGACTTTTTCTCCATGTAGGGAGTCCTTTGTTGTCAAAGTTATCCTTTTGAGAGAGGTGACTGCCAAGGTATGGAAGTGCTCAGCATATTCCAGTGTCTCTACTTCAATGTATATGATAAAATATATGGCTGGCCATGCATGGGTTAATACAAGTTTTGTTTTAGTGACATTTAAGGACAGGCCAGGTTTCTTGTTTATAGGATTGAAGAGGTCAAGTGGTTTGCAAATCTGGTACAAACTTGAGACCACATGTATAGACCATGTAGTGGGCAGTTAAGTTTGACACAAAGGTGATTGAAGTCAAACAATCAGGTGGTATTTAATACTGACACCAGAGGGTAGCTAATCTCTGAAGTGAGTAGTCACTTTCAGATACATTATAACTAGCACAGGGCTACCACACAATCATTTCTCAAGATGGATACCTACTTGCTTCTTGAGTCCATTCATAAAATTTTTAATCTGGTAACTTCATCCATACGCCAATTATTCTTTGTGTGAATAATTAAGTTCTGTTCCCATTGTGCTTCATAGAGCCAGGAGGGCATCATGAAGCCAATGTTGTGTATATGACAAAATCCCAAACTTCCTCTTATCAAAGCTATCTAAAAATCACTTGAAGTGAAATAACAGTAGAAATAAAATGTGAATAACACAGCCAAAAAGAATTACCTTCCATCAACACCAACAAAATATCTCGCAGAACGGTGATTGTTGTTCCCAAAACAAACACAGAGAAAATAAACGTGCAGATAGGATCAGCTACTTTGAATTCAGGCTGGAACAGACAAGAATAGTGATACTTTTTCAAAATGCTTATTAGACGTCTCCATGAAGCACATAAAATAGAGTGAGTAAAAACTATATTTAATGCTTTATATTTCCTTCCTTCCTTCTCAGATGTTCATGACCCATGCACTCATGATAAAACTTCTACCCATGCTTTGTAAAACTATGGCAAATTTGCTGGGTGCTGAATCATCTTATTACTAATGCCTATATGGTTATTAGCTTCCTGTAGTGGAGGTTTCATTTTTTGATAATAGTTTGCATTTCAGACAAAGTGGAACATTTCCCAGCTATGTCCCACTTATAAAAAGCAGGACTAATCCAAGCCAGCCAATTACAGACCCGTCAAATCTCAAAGTCAACAGTATTGTGATGGAAGGTGTTGACTTACAAAGCAATAACCTGCTCAGCAATGTTTTGTTTGGGTTCTATTTGGTTCTAGATCTCCTTAAAACCTTGATCCAAATATGGCCAAAGAGCTGGATTGCAGACATGGCTCATTAGCCAAGGAACAGGATACATGAGTGGGGAGGTTATGCTATAACTGTATAAAACCTGATTAGGCCCTACTGGAGTACTGTGGGCAATTCTGGTTACCACATTATAGGAACAACATGATTGCTCTGGAGGGGGTGTGGAGGAGATTTACCAAGACGTTGCCTGGGCAGGAATACACAGATACAAGGAAAGATTGGATAAGATGTGATTGTTTTCCTCAGAGCTGCATGTTTTCCATTAGTGCAGGGATCAATAACCAAGGAGTATAAATTTAAGAAAATGGGCAGAAGGCTAAGATGAAGGTTGAGGAGAAGTTTCTTCACTCCAGAGGGTGGTGGGAACCCATAACTCTCAGCCTGAAGGAGCGATTGAGTCAGAAACTCTCAGCATTCAAGTAGTATTTATGTATTCACTTATACTGCTATAGCCTCTCGTGACATGAAGGTTTGAATGGCCTCCTTCTGTCCTGTAAACATCTATGATTCAGAGATAACAGGGAGTGCCCTTCAAAATATGGCATTAAGGAGCCATAGTAAAATTGGCATCAATGAGAATGGAGGAATATACTCCACTGGTTGGAGTAATACCTAGCACAAAGGAAAATGGTTATTGCTGTTGGAAACCAAACATCTCAGCCCCAGGAGATTGCTGCATAAGTTCTGCAGGGGAGTGTCCTAGGCCGAACCATCTTTTGCTGCTTCATCAACGTCTTTCTGTCCTTCATTTGTGGGATGTGGGTGTCAATGGCTAGGCTAGCATTTATAGTCCATCCCTGATTATCCAGGGAAAAGTTAAGAATCAACCATATTGTGGGTCTGGAGTCACATGTAGGCTGGACCAGATGAGGATGGCAGATTTCCTTCCTTAAAGGACATTGGTGAGCCAGATTGTTGTTTACGACATAAAAAGAGAAAGGGCTGGAGAAACTCAACAGGTCTGGCAGCATCTGTGGGGAGAAAAACAGAATTAACGTTTTTTGAGTCCAGTCATCCTTTGTCAGAATGTGGTGGTGTTTATGACAATCAACAGCAGTTAGATGGTTACAATTTGGCTAGCTTCTTATTCCAGATTTTACTGAATTCAAATTTTGCCATCTACCATGGTGGGTTTGAACCAAAGTCATCAGAACACTAGCCTGGGGTTAATCCAGTGAAATGACCACTAGGTCCACCACCTCATAACTTCTCAGGTACTGAAACAGTCGATACCTCCAAGCAGCAATACATGGACAATATTCATGATTGACAAGTGGCAAGAAACAATTGCGTTGCACATGTCAGGCAGCGACCAGGAAGAGAATCTAACCATCTCCCCTTAACATTCAGTGGTTTTACCATTACTGAATCCCAAATCATCAGCATCCTTGGTCCTTACCATTCAGCAGAAACTTAAATGGACCAGCCATATAGGTTTCTGACGACAAGAGCAGAAGAGAGGCTTGCAATTCTGTGATGTGTAACCTACGTCCTGACTCTCTCACCACCTGGAAGGACCTCAACACTGTTCAGAATAATCTCTTAGTACTCCATCCATCAGCTTACACATTTACGTCCTTCGCCACCAGAGAACAGCGTATGATCTATGAGATGCAATGTAGCGAATCATTGCAGCTCCTTTAACAGCACCCGTGAAAGTTTGCTCAGTATGAAGAAACTGTCACTATAGTTTCCAATTCATTGCATGATCCATACCACTGTCATGGTCTGCTGCCTGTCAAGACACAGCTCTGAGCAGTCTGCTAGCCCCGGTCTCCCTTGCGAATGGATACTTTCTGCCAATATGACAGCTCTACAAGGGTATACAGCATATTTGTTGAGGGACTGCACTACACATTCAGACCTCGACTCAATCTCTGATACTACCTTCTCCCTACCTTAATAGAGGACACCAAATGCTGAGAAAACACCCATCAACTCCTAGCCTTATTTTGTCTCAAGACATGTGCCCTTTAAGGAGCCCTTGATAAATGCTGCACAGTGTCAACTCATGTCACTTTGCCACTTGAATAGCAACAGTGGCACAACCAACCCTTTACCTGGTGAACCTGACCCTGGTGTTCAAAACACAAAACCCCATCATGTCTTTGTGCCAAGCAGTAATGCCCAACACACACAGACAATACAGATACTACCCCATGTACTTCACTTAACCCAACATTAGGAATGTTAGCAGTCAAAAACAGCCAGCAGAACCAGGATACACTGACTGTATGTTACAGTGACTGTGATCTGGTCATTCTGGTGCAGGTGATAAGTAATAGGAGGGACATCATCTATCTAGCAGGTTGTAAGATGCACTCATCATGAGCAGAAGAGCAAATGATACAAATTGCATATTGAACGCCTCTGGAAGCACTGGCAAACTCGGATTCAGTGTCACAAAAGATTCAGTGACCTGCTATTGCTCTGGCCAAGTGTGTGAATCTTCCAACTGATCAGAAACTGCTCTTGATTGCAAGTGCAATATGCAAACCATTTGGAGGACTCAGGGCACGTACTGTTCCTCAACCTTGGAAGTGAGCCTTCCTAGGTTACTGTTGTAGTGCTGAGTCCTAATGGGTGCTGAGTCCTAATGGGTAAGACTATCAAAGAATAGATGTTTCAAATCACATGGAGGAGATTCCTTTCATCATACATCAGTATATTGCCTCGTTTTCCTATCCCCATTATGCTTGCAGGAGAAATGAATCCATGACGCTCCTTGTGAAGAGCAAAGATCTGTCAGCATATCCAAGTTTCCTCATTGCTTTTCCTCTTGACTGCAGAATGAGGAACCACAAACGAAATTTCAGCCCCTAGTTTGTTTTTGCAGCAATATATATTTAAACAAATAACCGAGTGACTACATTATTGAGTAAATGGAAAGAAATAACATGAAAAAGATGATGTTCATTGCGAGCTTTAAGAGACTTGCAGCTTTCCCTGCTCTTTTCAATCTATGATCACAGGGTCCTAGAATTTAAACATGGGTTATTCAGATTGCCCGGTCAAACCAAAATTCATATTCTCTCCTGTGTGGGCCCAGGCCTGCTGCATACTGTTAATGTCATCTTTTGCAGCATGGAGAGGTATGGTGTTTAGATGCTGAGCTTTAGAAAAGTGTACAAAAAAGTCAGCCAATGTTCATTCTATATGGAGTTTTTCTGTGAATCAATGAAAATGGATTTAGTGGTGGGTTCTGTTGTAAACTCAGAACTAAAATATTGCGGATGCTGGAAATCTGAAATAAAAACAAAATGCTGGGAATAAACAGCAGAAGGGATGAGAGACATGAAATTCATGTCGAGTTGAATATGTGTTGTAAACTTGCTTTGTAAATTTACCTTTTAAAAAGGCATGCAATAACTGTTCCAGTTTGAAGTAATAAAAATACATAGTACTTCCTCCTCCAGTCTAGCTGTGAGGGTGTAGCTTGGAGTTAGTTGTTTTGGAAAGCTGCTTTCTTATAGCTTAGCTTGGAAACTCAGTCAAGGTGTACCAGATCAGCATATGTAATTTGTACATCTATTTGAAGAAAAATATTAGAATGAAATGGGACTTGAAAAGTTTGTTGACCTAGAATTCAAAAGTTATAATATAGTAACTGACCTTGAAAAAAATTATAAGGGCACTAATTAGCACACTCAGGCTTTGTAAGAAATCTCCAACAACATGGATAAAAGCAGCTCGAATGCTGGCATTTGGCTGATGGCTGTGAACAGATTCCACTGCATGTTCGAAATAAGTTGCACTGTGGTTGTGGCCATGTCCGCCCTGATGAAGCGCCAATCCCATTCTGCAAAAGACAAAGTTAGATGAGTTTTGCATCAGGTTTCAGTGGAAAATTGTCGTTAAGTAGCTGTTAGATTGAACATTTATATACACATATTTACAATTATGATTTTGGTTTACATTTGTCTCATCACAGAAACTGTAATAGTGGTCAGGGTCGGTTTCTGCTGTTCATTGAATAAGAACCATTTTTCTTTTTCTTTTAAGAATTACAATATTTTATTCTCTCAATTATATAAATGAGTATTATAAAAGCCTTGGTTCAGTGGTAGCAATTTTCTGTGTCAATTTGAAGCTTGAATGTTCAATTTGTGCCTGACTACTGAGACTTGTTGCTATTTGTGTGTAAAATGTCCTGGATTACAATTGCTGCATTGTTCACTTAAACTGCAGAAGTATTTCATTAACATTGGAGATCCTGAGGTTATGGAAGGTCATATATGAATACAAATGCTTTATTTTGTAAGTGATTATACGAGAGAAATGTATTGGTGAAAGCTAAGCTAGGATGAGAGTGATTATAATGCTCTGCACATTTAGAGGTAAACAAGAATATTTATGTTTTTGTCTGTTTTTTTATTATGCTACAATAATAGGGTAAAACAGGTTTATAATATTGTTGAGAATCAAGCAAAAGACAAAAAAAATGCAGGAGAACTGAAAAAGTTAAGAGGGGCAAAGAGAATTTACGAGTAAGGATTATGAGGCAAAATGACAGGGAATACCGAATCTTGGAAAGATGTAAAGAAAGTAAAGGTAGTCAAAGAGAATACAGGACAATTATTGACCAAAAAAGGAAATCTTATGAAGGCAGATGACATGCTTCAATATTAGCTTGCATCTGCCTTCACAAAAAGAGCATTTTAATGGCATCAGAAGACATGACATTGATAGAGTAGAAGAATTGGATAAGGACTTCATGATGGCTCAGTGGTTAGCACTGTTGCCTCACAGCAACAGGTACCCATTTGATTCCAGCCTTGGTTGACTACGTAGAGTTTGCCTGTGCTCCCCGCTGTTTTGTGAGTTTCAGGTGGCTGCTCTGGTTTGTTCCTACAGTCCAAAGATGTGCAGGTTAGGTGGATTGACCATGCTAAATTGTCTGTAGTGTCCAGGGATGTGCAGGCTAGGTGTTTTAACCATGGCAATAATAGCAAAAGGTAAGGAGCTGTGCTTGGGTGGGCTGCTCTTCAGGGGTCAGTGCAGACTCAATGGGCTGTAGGGATTCTATGATTCTAAGATTAAATTAGATAAAGAGGATGCAGTTAAAAGGCTGTTGGAGCTCAAAATGCAAGTCACCAGGTCAAGAAGGGATGCATCCTATGTTGCCAAAGGAAGTAAACATGGAAATATCATAGGCTTTGACTACAATGCTTTATTCCTATTACATACAGGAGTGATGTCAAAGAACTGGAGATTTGAAAATATGATATTTCCATTCAAAAAATAAGAGATGGGTAAATCTGCAACTATAGGCCAGCAAGACTAACAGACTCAGATTAAGATCATTAGCAAAGGAATCAGAAGCGGGGTAGGAATTATTTTAAACAGCAAGTTATGAATGTAATACCTGAAGATGTGGGGTTAGCAAATCCAACATCAATTTTCAAAAGGGAATTGGACATATGAAATGTAATTTTTTGCAAAGCCATGGTGAAACAGCAGGGGATGAGACAAAATGCGCAACACCTTCAAAGAGCCAGTAGAGATACAATAGCCCTTTTCTGCATTGCATGATTCTACGAAATCTGAAAATTTAAATAATTTAAAAATAGCATCCTTGGTAACATAGTCAGGTAACACGAATAAATATTTAACTCATTCATTTAAATCTCCTCTTTAATTCATTTAACAGAATTGCATTAAAACTCTATCTAAATGAGTAGAGAAATGGTTCATTCCTTCCTGTAATTTCAAAATGGTGATCGTTTATTTAGGAAAATAATATCTTTCAGAATGCTATTTATACACAATTGAATTGAAACTTGCTTGCTGTGAGATGAAGCATCTAGACTGCTAAAATGTCTAGATCCCCAAGGACTCATAATCTATATTCCAGCATAAAGGAAATAGCCATCAAAGTAGCAGATAAATTGGATGTGATTTGGTACATTCTGGAATAGCCCTGGCAGATTGGAGGATGGTAAATGTAATACACAATTTAAAAAAAGGAGGAAAGGAGAAAATATTTTTGCCTAACATTAAGAGTAGGTAAAATGTTACAGTCCATTGTAAAGGGCATCATAATGGGGCATTTAGAAAATACCAATGAAATTAGACAAAATAAACATTGATTTACTAAAGTGAAATCATATTTGACAAACCTACTACAGTTTTTGGGGATGTAATTTGTAGATTAGATGAGGAAGAAACAGTGGAGACAGTATATTCAGATTTTCAGGAAGCTATTTCAAAAAGAGAGGTTATCTTTCAAAATTAAAGCACATAGGATTAGGGTAATATACTGGGGTAGGATTGGGGTAATATATTGGCATGGAGTGAGAATGGGCAGGCAGTCAGGAAACAGAGAATAGCAAATGGATCATTTTCAGACTGAAAGGTGAGGATGAGTGGGGTATCGCAGGGACCCAGATACACACAATATATAGCAACAATGTGAATGAGGGAATCAAATTTGTATTTAAAGAGACTTTAAGGTGATTTAAACAAGTTGAGTGATTGGGAAAATACATGACAGAACAAGCAAAACGTGGATAAGTGTGAGGATATCTATTAGGTATGCAAAACAGAATGTCAGAATATTATTTAAACAATAGAAAGGAAAACGTTGTAGTACAAAAGGTCATGGGTGTCTTTGTTCATCAATCACTGAAAGAAATGTGGGTGATGCAACTGGTTAGGAAGGTAAATGGTATGTTTGCCTTCACTGCAAATGTGTTACAGGAGCAAGGATTTCTTAATGCTCCTGTACAGGGCCTTCATGAGACCACACCTGGAGTACCATGCAGTTTTGGTCTTCTTACCCAAGAAAGGATACTCTTGCCAAAGGGTACACTTGGTGCACTTGCCATAGAGGGAGGGCAGTGAAGGTTCATGAGACTGATGTCTAAGGGGGACAGGATTGTGTTACTAAGAGAGGTAGGGTTGATTAGACCTGTACCAAGTAAAGCTCTGAGGAATGAGGGAGATCTCATTAAATTCTGACAAGACTGCAGAGATTCGATGCAGGGGGGATGTTTCTTCTTCTCAGGGGCCCTGGAACAGAGGGTCATGGTCTCAGGACATATAGTTGGCTATTTTGAACTGAGATAATGAAAATATCTTCACTCAGACCGGTGAACCTGTGGAGGCCAAGTCAATTAATATATTTAAGGAAGAAATAGATTTTTAGACACCAATGGTATCAAGATGCACGGGGATAGAATGTCAAACATGTACATACTGAACGGCAGAGCAATCTTGATGGGCCAAAAGCCTACTCCTGCTTCGATTTTCTGTGATTCCATGTTACTTGAATGACAACAGTCAGTGAATGATTGAATCATATATAATCATCAGAGCCATCATAGTTAGAGATAGACAGATTTCTAATCATTAGGGAATCAAGAGTAACGGGGAAAACATAAGAAAGTGGATTTGAGGGATTATCAAATCAGCTATGATCTTATTAAATGGCAGAGCAGACTTATGGGTTGAATGGCCTACTTCTACTCCAATGTATATCATTTATAAACATACATTTAAAATAAAAATTAATTTAAGGAATTTCTCATTGAAAAAGCAGTATATACAAGGAAGCAGCAAAAAGCGTTAATGAAAGTTAACTTACATTACATTTGCCACTACTGCAGAGGTAGATGTTATAACCATGACCAATCCATCAATTTCATACTCAGCACGAACCAACCTTACACAAGCGAGGTAGACCAACACTCCTGTTACAAGCCAAATTGTGATCACTGAGAACAGTGCACCAAGAATTTCTAGTAAAAATGAAATTGGAATTAGTAAGACTGGTTCGCACATTAACACCAGTGGATGATTTGACATACAGCATTCCGTTGCAATAGATGTTTAAGATGGAGCACAAACTCCCAGGCAACCTTTATTTACTGTAACCTTGATGAATCTGTATTCCACATATACACAGGTTACACTAGGTTGCAGACCCTCTTTCATTTCTTGAGAGCTGTTTATGAATTTTTGGCAGCACTTCAGCCCAATGTCCCTGATCTTTGGTCGCCTGGTGCAGTGAGGAATGGGCAGTTTCTCATGGGCCTGTGTGTGGGCCTGGTCAAAGTGGCCATAAACAACGAGTCAAGTCCAGGCAATGGGCAGTGGAGGGGGTCCCTATGCCAGACTTCTTACCTCTCTCCTGTAGTTACATGTGCGCCGGATGTCCTTGGAGAAGGAACCAAGATGTCCAGTGGCATGCTTAAGGCCTGTAACTGGTGGACATCACATGAACTGGAGTGCGTTGTAACCACCCTCAGTGATAATTTAGTTTCATTTTTTATATTTACTTTCAACTTTTGATTTTTGTTACCGTACCCCATTAAAGGATTGTTAACTTTCAATTTGGCTTAATTGCCATAAATAACTTTGAAGGGTCACTGGACCTGAAATGGTAACTCTGCTTTCTCTCTACAGATACTGCCAGACCTGCTGAATTTTTCCAGCAATTTCTGTATGTGTTTCTGATTTCCAGCATCTGCAAATTCTTTTTTGGTTTGGCAGAAATAGGGTTAATTTAAAAGACTATAGTCACTAGCAAATAACAACTTGTGTTTAGATAGTATCTTTAACATGTAAAACATTTCAAGGTGTCTCAAATTTTATCAAGCAATGTTTGATGCTGAGCCACATAGGGAGATTTTGGGTCAGATGTCCTAAATCTTGATCATGGGCTAGTCTTTAATTAGAGTCTTTAAATAGTTATGAGAGGTATAGTAGGTTAAGGAGGGAATTCCAGAGTTTCACACATGACAAAGAAAATCAATTGCCAGAGATCAGTAACACAATTATTTGCACTGTCCTGGACACACAAATAGTATTACTTCATGAAACAAAAGTAACAGAAAACCAGCTGGCTGTTCGACAAGTGACTTATCTGATACCAGCTGTTAACTACATCGAATTTTCCAGGACAGAAAGAAGTCATTTGAACTATTGGCTTCCACAGTATTTTGATAAGGAATACCCAAACCAAAACATTACTGAACTTTTAAATTACACTTGATAGATTCTGGAAAAACTATTGTTTCTCTTCAATAAGTCCTAATGTTTCCAGTTAACTTCAAGTACTTTTCTGAAATTCTCACCTGCTCTGTACCATCCAAAGTTTAATCTCTTTGTGGCTGGTCTTGACGATAACCATAATGAACACAAGCTAATCAGAAAACTTGTGACATCTGCTAAAAGATGAGCTCCATCGGTCATAACAGCCAAGCTCCCTGCTAGATAGCCACCTGAGAGAAATCATAGAAAATTAAATCATAGAACACAATGGAGTAATTCTACATGGACCTGGTCATTAGTCAACTTCATTCTATTTAGTCATAGACCTTTGTTTATACAGTTATTATAATCACGATGTTGACGTGTGTTTATAATCTCCTTACGATAGTCGAATGTTCCAAGCTGTTGCATGTGAAGATCCTCAAGAGCTTCCATCAATAGTGTCAACATTGAGTCCTGGGGGTCAAACTGGATGATCTCCAGATAGATGCCAGCATCCTGCATGATGATGCCTCTACCAGCATTAAAGCCCTGTTCCTGAAAAATCCACCCCAATGGAAGGGCCAATGTCTAGATGCCCAAAAACCACCTCCCTCAGCAGGCTGTGTTCTTCTACCTCTCTGCTGGCCAATACTGAAAGGACGGCCAAAGAAGAACCTACAAGGATACTCTCAAAGTCCAGTTAAAGTAAGGAGGCATTGAAACCACTGACCTGGAGGAAAAAGCAAAGCTGACCACCTCAGATGGATCCTCCTGATCCATCAAGGTGCAAGCCATTTCAAGGCTGATTGACTCAATCACAAGGTGGAATGGCAACAGCAGAGGAAAGAAATGGAAACCAACCTTGGCTGCAAATTGCAGTTCTCCATATAACAGGGTGCCCCCCAAAATGGGAAAATTGGCCTCCTCAGTCATCTGAAGACACAGTTAGCCTGACAGATATCATCCTCAATTCCAAAGGACCGCTGACAATGTCAGGACTATTATCAAATGAGGTATGAAACTGAATCAACAAAGAAAGTATTAGAACAAGTGACTTCAGTTCCATTGCCTTCTGTGATTAGGAATTGTTCAGATTCATCAATCCAGTGAAAATATTTCTCCTCATCTCAGATTGAAATGGCCTACTGCATTTCCTGACACTGTGACCCCTTTTAGTGGTTCCCTCCTCACCAGGGGAAACAATATCCCTACATCCAGTCTGTCCACTCCCCATCAGAATTTCATGTGTTTCTAAACTCTAGTGAAAACAACCCCAGTCAACTCATTCTCTCCAGATACAACAAACTGCCATCATTGTAATCAGTCTCATGAACCTTCATTGAACTCCCTCTATGGCAAATATATTCTCTCTTAGGTTAGGAAATCAAAACTGCATGTAATATTCCAGGTGTCGTCTCACTAAGTCTCTAGATAGCTACACTATGATTTCCTTGCTTCTGTATTCAAACCCTCTTGCAATGAAGGCCAACATTCTAACTGTGCTTTGCACCTGTATGCTTGGTTTCAATGATTGGTGAGCAAAGACATCCACACCCCTTTGTACAACAACCCTTCCCAATCTATCACCATTTAATTAATACTCTGCCATTCTGTTTTTCCTACTGAGGTGGGCAACTTAACATTTATCCACATTGTACTGTATGCTCCAGGTATTTGCCACTCATTCAACTCAAAATTGCCTTGAAACCTGTTTACATCCTCATCACCACTTACAATCCCACCTGGTTCTGTGTCGTCAGCAAACTTTGAAAGATCACACTTGATTTCCTCATCCAAATTGTTGAGATATTTCTGAGTGGCTGGGGCCCAAGCACTGATCTTCTACAGTAGCTCACTTATCACTACGTTCCAGCCAAAAACTACTCATTTAATCCTACTCAGTTTCCTGTAGGCTATCCAGTTCTCAATCCATGCCAATATATTGACACCAATCCCATGTACTTTGATCTTGCACAATAAACTGAAATGTGGGACTTTATCAAAAAGTTTCTGAAATTCCAAATATACTGCATTCACTGCTTCTCCTGCATATATTCTACTGGTTATGTTCTCAAAAATACAGTAAGTTTGATACAAATGGTTTCCTTTTTATATATTCATGTTGTCTTTGTTTTATAACATTGGTATTTTTTAAGTGTCATGTTATCACATCCATTTTTACAACTATTGGAGTTAGGCTAACAGGCCGATAATTTCTAGTTTCCTCTTTCAATGTTCTTTTTTTATATTTGACACTAAACATTCTGCCAGGACTGTTTCAAATCTACAGAGCTTTGAAAGATAACAATCAAAACATTCACTGTTTCCATGGCCAGCTCCTTAGATACCCCTGATATGTAGATTAGCAGGTCTTGGAGATTTATCAGTTTTTAGTCCCATTAATTTCACCAGAACTACTTTAGTATTTTACAAATACTAATTCCCTTTGATTCTTCTTTCCCAAAAGATGCTTGCTTCCCTAGCACTTCTAAGAAGTTATTTGTGCCTTCTTCTGTGAAGAAAGAACAAAATTTGTCGTTGAATTGCGCTGCCATTTCCTCGTTCTCTGTTATCAATTCTCCCATTTCAGACTGTTTGTCTTCATTTTTTTTTACATACTTATAGAGAGTCTTACAGTCCACTTTTATGTTCCTTTCAAGTTTACTCAAACTCTGTTTTCTCCATTTTAATGAACCTCTTGGTCCTCCTTTGCTGAATTCTAAACTACTCCCAGCTTGGTACCTTTTCTAGGATTTTTTTATGACTCCAATGTGGATCTAATAATTTTGTTTTGTTAAACATAGTTAGGCCAAGGTTCCTATTGTGTTCTTTCGCTCAAAAATAATGTATAAATGCTCCAGTGCGTTCATTCCTTAAATGTCAATGATTGCTTATTTGCTGGCATTTCTATTAATTAAGTTACCAATCTATCACAGCAAACTCACCCCTCAAACATTCTAGTTTCCTTTGTTTAGATTTAGAATCTTATTTTTGGATTGGACTATTTTTCTTTATATCCAAATGAAGTACTCTATCATGTTGTGATCACTTTTTTCCTACAGGACCACTCATAACAAGATTATGAATTAGAGACAAAATTAGAACTTGCTGGAAAAGCTCAGCAGCATCTGTGGAGAGAATCAGAGTTAATTCTTCGGGTTGAGTGACCCTTTCTCAGAACTGTTTGAGTAGTGAGGAAGGATCACTTGACCTAAAATGTTAACTCTGGTTCTCTCTACAGACCTGCTTGAGCTTTTCCAGCAATTTCTATTTTTGTCCGTAGCTCTTTTGGTTTTTATTTAAGATTATTAATTAACCCCTCTCATTGCAAAAAAAAAACAAATTGACAATTGCCTGTCCTAGTTGGGGCTCAACATACTGGTCTAAAAAACCAGCTTGTGGCTCCAGGAATTCCTCCGCCACAATATTGTTGTTGATGTGTTTTCCCAAATCTGTGTCTAAAGTCATTCCTTAGTACTGAAGCACCCTTGCTGAATGCATCCCAAATTTCCTGCATGATGCTACACCCCTGCATCAGCACTATTGTTTGAAGGCCAATAGACAACTCCCACTAATGCTTTTCCATTCCTTGTTGCTTCCTGGCTCTTCATTCAGCATGTTCACAATATTACTGACCTATTTTCAAGATGATTTCCAATTCCACATCTGCGCCATCACCAATCTGCCTAGCTCTAGTCTCTGTAACATTGCCCAGCCTCTGCTTCTGCTCATCTGCCACAATTGGAGTGTTAATTCTAGACCCGGCTTTTGCAGAACCATGGAAGGAGCTGATGGTATACCTGACAAGCCCAGGGATGTGGATAACCTTTTAATCTTAAAGGCAGGGTGTCATTTAAATAAAAGTTATACCCCCAACATTCAGACACACTGACTACTTGGCCAATGACAGTAAGTGAAAAATTAGCATTAGGTAGCTTGAGAGAACAGCCACTGGTAAGCAAGAAAGCTGTCCTTGGTGCACATCTGGAAAGAGCTAAAAAAAGAGATCCGAATCTGCTGATCTGGGTAGGATTAGAATTAACTCAAACAGGAACACTTCAGAAAGCCAAGTGACCGGTTGATTGAAGAGTATTTCTATTGTCAGCTGAAGGGAAAGGGAAGGCATGGCAGTGATATACTGAGGGGATGCTATGGCCATTTTAGAGAGCCTGATGCTCTGGTGCCCTCCTGACATATAAGGAGTTCAGCAGCAGGCAAAATTTTGATATTTATTAGGACTTTTTTTCTGGCCAGTTAACTCCAACTGTCATACTGCTGCATCTAGAGAGCAAACAATCTGAAGCTATGCTGAAGAAATCAGTAAATTATTAGGCAATGACTTTTGAGTCTTAAGTAGGTCTCATCTGATTTTAGCAGGAGTCTCATTCAGAGCCTAAATTGTAATCTGAGTGTGGGCAACAGGTAATCTGATGGATCCCAATATAAAGAGGTCTTATAGAGAAAGATTTTATAATCAAATGCCTCAACGTAGTGCCAATGCGAGTGTTGGTTGCTTGAGGAACTCCAGCTCAGAGTTGATAAGCTGGTGTCTGAGCTTCAAACACTGCAACACATGGGGGAGGGGGGAGAGTTACCAGGATGCTGTGTTTCAGGAGGCAGTCACATCCTGAGATTAATTACTTCAAATTGGCTCAGAGGTCAGGGACAGGAGGGCATGACTACCAGTGAGGCAGGTAGATGGATCCAGGAGTTAGTGCTAAAGGAGTCTCAGTCCTTGTGCTTGTCTAACAGGAATGAGATTCTTGCTCCAGACATGATAAATAAGTTGAACAATGGGGAGCATTAATGTAAAAGCAGCATAGCATAATTTTAACTTCAGAAACATGTTGAACAGATATCAGTAGGCTTTGCACGGTCATGGAGAGATTACATCCAGAGTGAGAGACAGCCGGAGGCTGCAGGGAGGATGAGAAAATTGACCATAGCACCAAGGCACAGGGAGCCATTCAGGAGGAGAGAAAAAAGAGAAATGCAATTGTAATTGGGGTTAGTATCATCAAGGGAATAGACACTGTTCTGTTACCAGGATTGACAATCCCAAAGGCTCTGTACCCAGATTCAGGATCTCTCATCTGGACTGCAGAGGAACTTGTTATAGGAGGGGAAAGATCCAGTTGTCATGGTCCACATAGGTACCAACAATATAGGGACAAAGAGGACAGAGGTTCTGCCAAGGGATTATGAGCAGCTAGGTGCTAAATTAAAAAGCAGAACCAAAAATTTAATAATATGTAAATTTACCTGAACCATGAGCAATTTGTCACAGGGACAACAAAATTAAACAAATAAACATGTAGCTCAAAGATTGGTGTGGGAGAAATAGGTTCAAATTCATGGGACATTGGCACCAGCACTGAGGAAAGAGGGAACTGTTCCAATGGCATGGAATCCACCTGAAACCAGAGTCCTGGTGAAACGCAGAAGTAGGAGTGTATGTATGTGTGTATGTGTGTCTGTGTGTGTGTGTGTCTGTGTGTGTGTGTGTGTGTGTGTGCGTGTGTGTGTCTATGTGTGTGTGTGTCTATGTGTGTGTGTGCATGTGTGTGTCTATGTGGTGTGTGTCTATGTGTGTGTGTGTCTGTGTGTGTGTCTGTGTGTGTGTCTGTGTGTGTGTCTGTGTGTGTGTGTGTCTATGTGTGTGTCTATGTGTGTGTGCCTATGTGCGTCAATTGCATGGACACTGTCCCCACTGCACCTTAGGGGTGGCACGGTGGCGCACTGGTTAGCACTGCAGCCTCACAGCGCTAAGGACCCAGGATCGATTCCAGCCTTGGATGACTGTCTGTGCAGAGTTTGCACATTCTCCCCGTGTCTGCATCGGTTTCCTCTGGGTGCTCCGGTTTCCTCCCACAGTCCAAAGATGCGCAGGCTGGGTGGATTGGCCATGCTAAATTGCCCGTAGAGTTCAGGGGTGTGTGGGTTATAAGGGGATGGGTCTGGGTGGGATGCTGCAAGGATCGGTGTGGACTTGTTGGGCTGAAGGGCCTGTTTCCACACTGTAGGGATTCTATGATATGATGATAGTGCAGCTGCCCAAAGCTTTAGTGCATACGTCAGCACGTAGTCCTGGACCTTGGAATATATCAGACCGCAACACTCAATCGAGGTCAACTCCCTGCTCTGGAAGACGTAAGATAACAAGGTGTAGAGCTGGATGAACACAGCAGGCCAAGCAGCATCATAGGAGCAGGAAGGCTAACGTTTCGGGCCTAGACCTTTCATCAGAAATGGGGGAGGGAAAGGGGGTTCTGAAATAAATAGGGAGGGGGGGTGCAGATAGAAGATGGATAGAGGAGAAGATAGGTGGAGAGGAAACAGACAGGTCAAAGAGGCGGGGATGGAGCCAGTAAAGGTGAGTGTAGGTGGGGAGGTAGGGAGGAGATAGGTCAGTCCAGGGAGGACGGACAGGTCAAGGGGGCGGGATGAGGTTAATATGGATGGAAATGGGGGTGCAGCTTGAGGTGGGAGGAGGGGATAGGTGGGAGAAAGAACAGGTTAGGGAGGCGGGGACGAGCTGGCCTGGTTTTGGGATGCGGTAGGGGGAGGGGAGATTTTGAAGTTTGTGAAATCCACATTGATACCATTGGGCTGCAGGGTTCCCAAGCGGAATATGAGTTGCTGTTCCTGCAACCTTCGGGTGGCATCGTTGTGGCACTGCAGGAGGCCCAGGATGGACATGTCGTCTGAGGAATGGGAGGGGGAGTTGAAATGGTTCGCGACTGGGAGGTGCAGTTGTTTATTGCGAACCGAGTGTAGGTGTTCTGCAAAGTGGTCCCCAAGCCTCTGCTTGGTTTCCCCAATGTAGAGGAGGCCACAACGGGTACAGCGGATGCAGTATACCACATTAGCAGATGTGCAGGTGAACATCTGCTTGATGTGGAAAGTCTTCTTGGGGCCTGGGATGGGGGTGAGGGAGGAGGTGTGGGGGCAGGTGTAGCACTTCCTGCGGTTGCAGGGAAAAGTGCCAGGTGAGGTGGGGCTGGAGGGGAGTGTGGAGCGGACAAGGCAGTGGTCCCTCCTGAAAGCAGATAAGGGTGGGGAGGGAAAAATGTCTTTGGTGGTGGGGTCGGATTACAGATGGCGGAAGTGTCGGAGGATGATGCATTGGATCCGGAGGTTGGTGGGGTGGTATGTGAGGATCAGGGGGATTCTTTTTTGGTTGTTATTGCGGGGATGGGGTGTGAGGGATGAGTTACGGGAAATGCGGGAGACATGGTCGAGGCGTTCTCGACCACTGAGGGGGGGAAGTTGCGGTCCTTGAAAAACGAGGACATCTGAGATGTACGGGAATGGAATGCCTCATCCTGGGAGCAGATGCGGCGGAGGCGAAGGAATTGGGAATAGGGGATGGCATTTTTGCAGGAAGGTGGGTGGGAGGAGGAGTATTCTAGGTAGCTGTGGGAGTCGGTGGGTTTGAAATGGATATCGGTTTCTAGGTGGTTGCCCGAGATGGAGACAGAGAGGTCCAGAAAGGTGAGAAAGGTGTTAGAGATGGTCCAGGTGAACTTAAGGTTTTGGTGGAAGGTGTTGGTGAAGTGGATGAACTGTTTGAGCTCCTCGTGGGAGCACGAGGCGGCACTGATACAGTCATCAATGTAACAGAGGAAGAGGTGGGGTTTAGGGCCAGTTTAGGTACGGAAGAGGGATTGTTCCACATAACCTACAAAGAGGCAGGCATAGCTTGGGCCCATGCGGGTACCCATGACCACGCCCTTTGTTTGTAGGAAGTGGGAGGAATTGAAAGAGGTTGCAGGAACAGCAACTCATATTCCGCTTGGGAACCCTGCAGCCCAATGGTATCAATGTGGATTTCACAAGCTTCAAAATCTCCCCTCCCCCTACCGCATCCCAAAACCAGGCCAGCTCGTCCCTGCCTCCCTAACCTGTTCTTCCTCCCACCTATCCCCTCCTCCCACCTCAAGCTGCACCCCCATTTCCTACCTACTAACCTCATCCCGCCCCCTTGACTTGTCCGTCCTCCCTGGACTAACCTATCTCCTCCCTACCTCCCCACCTGCACTCACCTTTACTGGCTCCATCCCCGCCTCTTTGACCTGTCTGTTTCCTCTCCACCTATCTTCTCCTCTATCCATCTTCTATCTGCCTCCCCCTCTCTCCCTACTTATTTCAGAACCCCCTTCCCCTCCCCCATTTCTGATGAAGGGTCTAGGCCCGAAACGTTAGCCTTCCTGCTCCTATGATGCTGCTTGGCCTGCTGTGTTCATCCAGCTCTACACCTTGTTATCTCAGATTTTCCAGCATCTGCAGTTCCTACTATCTCTGCTCTGGAAGACGAACAAGTTTTCGGCAGACCAAACGGTGTCTTTCTTTGAGTGGTACAATAGACTTGAGGAGCCAAACGTCATACCCCTTCTCCTTTTGTATTTTATATTCGAAGAGCTCTGTAGCTAATGATACACATTTGAAGTGTATGACTGTTGTACTCACCAGTCAGTTCTCCAAACATAAATATTAGACAGATGACCAAAGCTATCCACAGTCTCTTCTTAGCTTGACATTGCTCTATTTGCTTCTGTTCATGAGCCTTTTTATTGCAGTGACAATGGAAGACCCCACTGGACTCACAGACATTCTCAGATGGTAGGCTTATCTCCAGTTCTAGATTTGGATGTTGGCACGATGAGCTGTGGGATGGCACACAGAGATAGTGAATTAGGTCCGACCGTTTATCTGTCAGTTCACCACGAACACACAAACTTCAGAAACCAACCAGCAAGACTCACCAGGACAGTCTGTGCCAGGCCTCCAGGTGGCAGGGACTCATCAGCACTGCCCAGCCAAGCCAGTTATCACAGAGGACATGCTGCCCAAACTCCGAGCCTGACCTCCATATTGGGCAAGGTCAGGGGTCGGAGGGCGGGGATGGGTGCAGGGTCGGTTGTGAGTCTATGAGAGGTGAGGCAGGGATGGGCCCATAGTGGGGCAGGACCATGTGGTAGGTGGTGCCAGTGAGGTGAGGCCTGGGAGGGGCAGAGTAAGGGGGGACATCATCATATGGGCGCAGTTGTCATTGGAGGTGGGATCAGTGCAGCTGGATCAGGGAATAGACAAAAGGGGTGGTGCCATGAGGAGCAGAGGGTCACATGGGGTGAGGATTATGGGAGGGCAGCACAGGGGCAGGATCAGATGGGTGTGACGTCAGACGGGGAGGGATTAGGAGTGGTGCAGTGTAGCTATGGATGGGAATGATAATGAGGACAGACAGGAGCATGGCCAAGAGAACAGGTGCGGGGTCAGGGTGTCAGACAGGTGGGGCAATGGAGTAGTCGGGCATTGGGGGAGGGCCTACTGGGGACAGGAGCAGGGCAGGAATAGGGGAAAGGCTGCATAAGGGACCGAATAAGGGGGGAATACGATAGTGGGTGGGCCCAAAAGCAGGGTGATCAAGGAAGGACCAGTGGGGAGGGGTCACTGAAGGAGGAGCCAATGAGAAAGGGCTAACAAATGCAACTGGGGAAGAGATAGAGGGCAGGGTGCCACTCAGAAGTGTCATGGACTGAAGCTAATGAGGACTAGGGTGGAGGGTCAATGGCAAGGAAGCAGTGAAGGAGCTAGGGAGGGTGAGCAAATGGGAGAACCTTCCCCGCTATAGGAAAGATGTAGTTAAACTTGGAAGGGTTCAGATAAGACTTACATGAATGTTGCTGGGATTGGAGGCTTTGAGCTATTGGGAGAGGCTGAAAAGGCTAGGGCATTTTTTCCCTGGAGCGTTGGAGGCTGAGGGGTGACCTTATAGAGGTTATAAAATCACGAGGCGTACGGATAAGGTGGACAGCCAAGCTCTTTATCCCAGGGGTAGGGAAGCCAAAACTAGACGGCATAGGTTTAAGGTGAAAGGCTAAATATTTAAAAGACACCCGAGGGAAAACATTTTTTTACGCAGAAGGTGGTGCATGTATGGAACGAGCTGCCAGAATAAGTGGCGGAAGCAGGTACAATTGCATAATTTAAAAGGCATCTGGCTGGGTCCATGAATAGGAAGGATTTAGAGGGATACAATCCAAATGCTGGCAAATGGGACTAGATCAGTTTAGTATATTTGGGCAGCATGGACGAATTGGACTGAAGGGTCTGTTTATGCGCTGTATAACTCAATGACTATGACTCAGTGGAGTTAACCTAACCTTAATCCAATTAAGAACAATCAGAAGAGGTTTGGCACAAAACTCGTGGAGCCTGCAAGGAATGTTTTGCTCATCTGTACAGAACAACATGTAAAATCCAGCAGAGCCACTGCTTTGGAACAGCCACTTTAAGGAGTGCTGGGTCGGCTGCTCTGCACCACGGAGCAATTGGTGGGATATGTACCAGTTCCTGACCCAGAAGAATAGTGTGTGGGCCCTAACATAAATGAAGTTTCTCATTCCTGGAACCATTCTTGTAAATTGCTTCTGTACTCTCTGGAATGCATTCACATTTATCCTATAATGTGGCACTCACGGCTGTAAACAGTTGCTGAGGTCCAATAAGTACCTTATCTGAGTTCAAATCACCTCCTTGCTCAGGTATTCAATGCCCCTATTAATAAAGCCAAAGACGCTATATGCTTTATTAACTGCCCTCTCCATCTGTCCTGTCACCTTCAATGATCTGTGCACATATACAGATCATCTGGTCTTACACCCCTTTAGAATTGTATCTCCTATTTTATATTGCCTTTCAATGTTCTTCCAACAGAAGTGAATTAGCTCAAATCTCTGCATTGAACCTCATCTGCAACCTATCCGTCTACTCCAATTTGTCAATGTTCTTTTGAGTTCCACGCTGTCCTCTTCACTGTTTACAATTCTTCCAAATTTCATGTGATCTGCAAAATTGGAAATTGTCCCCTACACAACGAGATCCAGATCATTAATATATATCAGGAAAAGCAAGGGTCCCAATACTGACCCCTGGGGAGCTCTACTACAAACCTTCCTTCAGCCTAAAAAATAATCATTGAACACTTTAGTCCCTTCTCTAATATGACAAATAACTTTCATCACAAGTCTGTTGTGTGGCACTGTGTGAAATACCTGGAAATTCATCAGTGTTAACCTCATCAAGCTTTTCTATTACATCTTCAAAAATCTCCAGCAAGTTAGTTAAACACAATTTCTCCTTTAGAAATCCATGCTGATGCTTCCTAATCAACACACCTTTTTCCATTTCACTACTAATTCTCTCCTGAATAATTGTTTGCGATTGCTGGGATCATCCTTACAACCTTTCTTGAACAAAGCCATAGTCTTTCAGCACCTCCCTCAAGTCTAGGGAAGCCTGAAAGATTATGGCTAGTGCCTCCATTATTTCTATCTTCATTTCCTTCAAAATCCTTGGATACAACTCATCCATTCCTAATTTAAAACAAAACAAAACAACTGCAGATGCTGGAAATCAAACAAAAGCAGAAATTGCTGGAAAAACTCAGCAGGTCTAGCACCATCTGTAGAGAGAAATCAGAGTTAATGTTTTGGGTCCAGTGACCCTTCTTCAGAACTGGTTAACTCTGATTTCTCTCCACAGATGCTGCCTGATCTGTTGACTTGTTCCAGCAATTTCTGTTTTCGTTTCATCCAATCCTGATGCCTTGTCAATTTTAAGTACCAACAGTATATCCAAGATTTCTTCCTTATTAATTTTGAACTCATCTAAGGACAGATTTTCCTCCTCTATCACATGGCCTGGGCAACATCCTCCTCTTTTGTAAATACAGATGCAAACTAATCATTTAATACCTGAACCATGCCCCTGCCTCCATGTGTATATCTCCTTTTCAGTCTCCAATCAGTCCTGCCCCTTCTTTAACCACTCTTATTATTCATATACCTATAGAAAACTTTGGAATTCCCCCTTACGTTAGCTGCTAGTCTTTTCTCATAATTTCTCTTTGCTTCTCTTAATTACTTTCTCACCTCTCCTCTAAACCTTTAGTATTCCTCTTAGTGCTCTTGGTATTGTGTTTTCTGCCTTACACCCGTCTTAAGCACACCTTTTCTTTCTAATTTTAATTTCTACCTCCTTTTCATCCAGGGAACTCTGGATTTATTTTTCCTGCCTTTAAGAGAATATACCCCAACTCTCCCCAAACCATTTGCTCTTTGTAGGAAGATCAGCCATGATCTCATCAAATTGCAGAGCAGGCCTGAGGGGCTGAATAGGATAGCTTTGTATTAGTGTCATTGCGCTGGGGGTGGAAAGTGACTTTTGCATATGGTCATTAGATGGTTGGTGGCTCAAACTTTAATGAATCTCATAATAATGGATATCCAAGGAAGCAACATGCACGCTTACAGTTGTCTTAGTTACAATATTTGAGCTATTTCTTCTCTTGTCAACTTTTTGTTCCAGTCAATCCCCAAAGAATGCAAATATTCTAAGCTCATCTTCAGAAGCTGCCACTGAGATAAAATTCAAAAATCAGGAGCAAGTGAAATGTGTTAATTGATTGGACATCTGTAATACAAACTCAATTTTCTTTTATATTGACTTCAATTTCACCCCATCCTGTCCATATTCATCATTCTTATTCTCGGGTCTTATTTTCCGTCCCATACTGACCTTTAACTTCGCACCATGTGGAGGGTGTCAGCCTCTGTCTTTGGCAAAGTTGTTTACATGAGTATCAGAATTAAACAGGATCATGATCAACTTATGATAAATGCAGCACTGGACTTTGCTCCAAAGACCATTTCACTGCAGTGGCAGGTTCAGCCATTGGGTATAAACATGTGAGGTATTGACTGGACAGGGTGAGGTGAGCGAGTAGGGTAATAGCTTGAATGGTTGAAAAATGGAAAAACTTAGCATTCAGTGTCCCTACCTCCATATGTCCTCTCATCATCATTCCTCTGATGACCATCTCACTTCCATGCTGGCAATGAGCTGTAATTTTGCTGCAGATTAGTAAAGTGATTAATGGGCCAAGCAAGAGTGAATCTAAGGTCTTATGCATCCTATACAAGGTGAAATTCATAATATGAAAGTCTGTGATGAAGAACTGCACCCACTTATTTGATTGCCATGTTTCATGGAGAAAGACATCTTTACAAAGGCCCTGTGGCATGATGGTACTGATCTTTCAGACAAACTCCTTCAATCTCCCAATAAGCATGCATTGTGCAACTGGAATGGATGCTAGTACATAGCACATTCAACGCTCCTACGCTAGATGCATTCTCTCAATCACAGCTCCTGGGATACAGCATCTGCATTCAACAGAGCAGAACTTAGATTGTTCTGTGCCTTCTGACCTGGATCCTTAACTGCTGCCCATATCACCACTATCTCTTCTTGCTCAGTCGTGGTGAGTCACCAGAAGAAAACTCAACCGTCTGAGTTATCAGTCCAAACTAAAGTGGCAGTATCTGAGCTGGTGCAAGATCTACATAAGTCTGCGAAAGTGCCACTTCAGAGGGACTGACCTACTGTGAACATTTATCAATTTTGTCGGCTACCACCTGTAAGACACTTGTCCTGAACGGGATTGAAGACATGTATCAGAACTTCCATGGTAAGAATGATTTAAGTGATCAGGAACATCCCCCTCCACTACCAACTGTTCTTTGTCCGGTCCACTCTAACTAAGGATTGATTCTGTTCTTCTGGTCTGACACAAATCATCAGTAAGTATTCTTTCAAGTGA